ACTATTTATAAAATGAAGACAGGGTTTGACTGGGTCACAACTCAGAACTAAACCCAAATAGAGGAGCAGAAGCATCGGGACCGACTGAGTCAGTCTCCTGCCTTCTGTTACAACCATCGGGGTTCCAGGGCTGGGGTTGGACATCTGCAGACTTGTCGTGATGGGAGCCAAGGGGAAAAATACAACTGAGAAGAAGGGATATATTATTTTGCACTTTCCCTGAAAAGAAGAAAAAAAATGACATCTATTTATAAGTAGTTTGCATGTGATCTAGGGGGAAAAAATGAGAGATAAAGATTTGTACTTTGTGGTGGCATATGGTTATTAGGGGATAAGCTACTATGTAGACTTCCCTTTATTCTGTATCGCCTTAGTGCCTTTGTGATGACTAGCATATGATAGGAAGTCTAACTTTTTTTTTAAAGTAAAGGAAAGAAGAGAGGGGAGGCAGAGAGAGTAGGGGGAGAAGAGATGAAGAAAGGACAAGGCAGCAATAGAGGGAGAAGAACAGTCGGGAAGGGATGAGAAAGACTGTGCAGAATCCACAGAATGCCAAGAGAAGATGAGAATGCTGACAAGCACTGCCAGATGTGGGGGAGGGGTGAGGCAGAATACCCAGGGCGAAAACAGAGGCCCAATCTTCCACCCAGTCAGCTCCTATCACTGGGCCTGTGAAGGGGCCATCCAGGGCATTGGGAATGGTGTATTCCCCAGGATAATCAAGTTATCACCTACAACAGTAATTAACTCAGCCTCTTGGGGCAACTGCTTAGTGCACTGCTTTCCCAGGTCTAATCTGCAGGTGCAGTTCCCACACCTGCAAAGCTGCAACACTGACCTGGCACCTTGATGGCTATAACGGGGTCCAAGATGCAGCTGGCTTCCCTCTTGGTCACCTCTGACCTCTTCTATTCCAATGTAACAGGAGTCGCATCCACAGTCTCCTGAGAACACCCTGCCCAGTGTGCCACAGGGCCCACTGCGAACAAAGCGTGTCTTTCCCAGGTAAGATTCTCTCCCCATCCAGGAAAGACCTGGCCAGTATCAAGGTTCTACAATCTGTTCTCACTGCTCAGGAAACTCAAAGTCTTAAGTCCTCAGAAACCCCTTCAGTCCCAAGCAAACCTAGCTGGTTACCTGCCAGGTAGATTCCTCCCTCACAATGGGCCTCTTTTTCCGTTCCCCAGGCTTTTCTGGGCCTGCTCCAGTTTCTCCTCCTGCAAGCCACTACTCAGAATATTTAGAGCCATTGTTCCTGGGTGAGACATGGAGACATGGGGCTGAGGAGTTACAAAGGAACCTCGGCTGCGGGGGAGCCAGATCTAAGCTGCTGAGTCTCAGCAAGGAGAATTCAACAGTATCTGGTGGCAGGGACATGTTCAGCATTTACATTAGCAGAAGGAAGAACTACTAAAGGGAAATCTGCCTTGAACACGATTTCTAAGTGAAGAGAATGTCAACTATTAAACTAAACAATAAAAAACAATATAGAGGTGAGTGGAGCTTTGCTGGTCAGCATAAAATAACTGCAATAATTACAATGATTTATATCTAATTACTATGCGGCATCAGTGATTAGGAGAAATTACTGTGTCATGTAATTCATACGCTAAGATCATGGTGATTAGAGTGGTTAATTCTGCTCAGTCACGTGCACTTCCACAGTCATCTGAAAGCCAGTGAAGGCAACAGGTTTGGCTTGGTCTTGGTGAGTTGTTTGGTTTGTTTTGTTTTGTTTGCTTCAGGGAACACGGGCAGCTAAATAACAGGTGAACTTGTTATATCTGATTCTGAGAAGAACAATATAAAGACACTAAAAAAAAAAAAACAACGAATGTCATCTTTACTTATAAAGGAATTCTGGGAAAAACGCAAAGCACTTTTCAGATTTTAATCTAATTAATCCTCACAATAACTCCTCCAGAGAGTGCACACAATGGCCTCCATTGTTTAAGGCCACCAGTTGTTAGAAGCCACAAAAGAAGCACTTTATCTGTTCTTGCTTCTTTGTCCTGGGTTAATTCATAAATGCTGTAACATTCTTTGAAATTGCTCTAGTATAAATGATTAGTATGTTAATATTCACCAAACATTACAAACACATTCACTCCACTTCCAAAAACTTCTTAAACATGACCTTACATACCAGTTTAAAGAAACAGAAATGCTTGTTAGAGAGGAATTTAAAGTAATGGGTAAACTCATTAATCCATGGGTACTTACAGAGCATATTACATGAATATAATGTTGGGTTCCATGGATACAAAAGTAGCTTAAGATAGGAACAAATAGTTATGTGTGGTTGTTCTAATAAGTCAAGGACTGGTTTAGCTAGCAAAAAAAAAAAAAGAGAGAGAGAGAGATAAATAAATTCCTGACAACCAGCATTTGCCCTTACCCTTTCTTTATAAGTTTAGTTGAGGTGGCACGGTCTTTGGTAATTCCAACAGAGTTGGCAAAGGAATGCTTCCACATATAAAAATCTCACTTTAGGGGCTGGCACCGTGGTATAATAGGTGAGGCTAAGTTTCCACTTGTGGTCCCAGCATCCTATATGGGTGCTGGTTCGAGTCCTAGCTGCTCCACTTCTGATCCAGCTTCCTGCCTGGGAAAGTAGCAATAGATGGCCCAAGTGTTTGGGCCCCTACACTTTTTTTTCCCCCCAAAGATTCATTTACTTTCATTAGAAAGGCAGATTTACAGAGAAGGAGATAGAGAAAGATCTTCTGTCTGCTGGTTCACTCCCCAAGTGGCCACAATGGCCTGAGCTGAGCTGATCTGAAGCCAAGAGCTTCCTCCAGGTCTTTCACATGGTGCAGGGTTCCAAGGCTTTCTCTGTCTCCCTCCCCTTCTCCCTATAACTCTGTCTTTCAAATAAAAAATAAATCTTTTTTTTTTCAAATCTCATAGTGTCTCTATAAAGTAGATAACGCAACATTATCAATATTATTTCTGATTTTTTTACAGATAGGAAAATGAGCTCAGTCATATTACACTGCTAGGGGTCACAGTGAACAGAAATTTAGCAACTCAATGAGGCTCTCCAAATTCTCATGTGGCACTCATGCAAATGATGAAACACTTAAAAATTTCGACCTCATCTTCCTTTTCTAGGTCCCCCTACCTTAAACCTCCAGACTACAGCACTGACATGCTGACTCCCTGAATCTCACTGGGGGCTTCCTAGTCCATCTAATTTGGGCCACATTTGGATCAATAAATCTATGTTGCGAGCTGACCAATCTACCCAAGGAATTAGTCAGAGGCAAACTCTTAGAAGCTCAGGCGTCTTTCTTCACCAGTCGGTGCTGACCGGTAGGCTGTCCCATTCCACCATACATGGAAGAGGGGAGAAGCCCCAACCAGCCATGTTCAGGGGTTCTTAAGCAGTGATCATCCAATTAACTAAGCGAGCACTAGCACATAATGCAAATCATTCAACCAACCAAGCTGACATCAGTGCACAATACAAATGATCAATCAACTATAGTGACATGGAACACAGATACCCAGTGTAAGCACCATACGCTTTAAACAATCCAATCAGTAAGAGTTGCAGCCCAGCAGAATCAGACAAACAGGACTTTCCAATTCTGCTTACAGAAAACAATTTGGGTCAATAAGCTTACTGCCTGAGCTGTGAAAGAAAGGCAAGATCTCAGGTCTGGCACAGAAGCCTAGTGGCTAAAGTCCTTGCCTTAAACACTCAAGATCCCATATGGGCAACGGTTCTAATCCTGGCGGCCTGCCCCACTGCTCTCACATCCAGCTCCCTGTTTGTGGCCTGGGAAAGCAGTCGAGGATAGCCCAAAGCCTTGGGACCCATGTGGGAGACCTGGAGGAGCCTCCAGGCTCCTGGCTTCAGATTGGTTCAGCTCTGGCCATTGTGGCTGCTGGGGAGTGAATCAACAGATAGAAGATCTTCCTCTCTCTCTCTCTCCATATATATATATATACACATACACAATACATATGTATATATATGACTTTGCAATAAAAATAAATAAATGTTTAAAAAGTAGAAGAAGAAAGGCAAAATGTCATTGTGGAATGAAATAAGCAGTCTCATTGGTACTGTCCAAGAATCCAAGGTTATGGTAAAGGTCAGATTATGGACATGTCCCAGAAGCGTTTCAGAAGACCTAGCCTTACTGTCACCATTCTCTGTTGTCTGGGCTGTGACAATCTATACAAGTGTTTACTTTAGAAGCTAAGAAAAAATAAAACCAAAGTTATGAAAGTCATACATTTTTATTGAATATAAGTTTTGGTCTACAGATCGGTTTGTATGACAGGGTAATTAGACTATTGGGTCAATAATTCTCTCCTTTATATCCTACTTCATTAAAAAAAGGGAAGCTTCCCCATCCTTAGGCAATTCTTTTATCTATTCTAGGTCCTCTTTTCCTCCTTTGGAGGAGAGGACAAATGAAAACCCCAGCCATTTTGTGAAGAGTGACACCTAGAAGGAAGAAACGTTACACTCACTACAGTTACGTATCACATCACTGACCCTTGCTCAAGTGCACCCAACAGTTTATCCCTCCCACAACATCCTGTGAGAATCCTCTATAGTCACAGTCATCATTAGAGAAAGACATTATCAGAAGGCAAAATAAGCAGCATTTGAATCTGTTAACCAAGTGGTACCTTCTCAAAAAAATTTTTTAAACTTTCACACTTTTTTTTTTCTCGTTTCTAAAGTAAATTTCATAGGATGATGCTTAGCTCGTAGGATGCTAGCTCTTTCCGAGAATGCTCCCGGAATAGTGATGCTTTTCTGTAATCAATCTATTTGTGTGCCAAAACAAATTAAGGGTAGACAGGAAGAAGTCAATGGTTAAGAACTTGAGATCCGAAACTAAAGTGATCTGGAACTGAGTTCCTGCTCTGCCGGCTACACTGCTCCAGCCAAATGCTGAGCTTCCGTGAAATCCCACATCTCCATCTACACATAGAAAATAGGAGCCGATTTATTTAATAAATACTTTTGTCAAATGCTAGTTTGAGAGATAAGAGAGCTAGATCTGATCGCTGACTCACTACCCACATACCCTTATGACTTTGCCAGAAGCCAGGAGCCCAATCCAGGCTGCATGAGCACCCATTCATTGAACCAACACTGCTGCTTTCCAAGGTGCACCTGAGCAGGGAATTGGGAGTCAGGAGCCACAGCCAGAGCTGGGAATTGAACCTCAGGACTCCGATGTGGGACAGACATCTCTCCACCAGGCCAAACGTCAATGTCTAAGAACTGAATTTAGTGGAGTACTTACTACATGCTAGGAGCTGTGTGTGCTAAGTTCCACGTGCTTCACATGCATTATTTGATTTAATCCTTACCACAGCCCTGTGATATGGGTAATATAATTATATCCCTATTTTATAGGTAAGCAAACAAAGAGGCTAATAGATTGCCAGACAGCATATGACTGTAAGTAGATTCAAACACAAACAGTCTGACTCCAAGGCCCATGTTAAAAGTTAATCACTACCTTTTTCGTGATGTTGTTAAGGATGAATCAGGTACCTCCTGCATAGTCCCTGGTACATAAACAAGCCTTAAGTAAATATTAGCTGTGGTATTATTTTTAGTATCATCATTTTTTCCTCAAGAGATAATTGGACCCCAAAACCAAGTTTTGACATGGGCTATTTTGTGTCTCTCTCAATTCTCTGCCCCTAGATATGTGTCTTTCAGCTGAACTGACAGGTCTCTGCTGTCACCTAAACAATCTGTACCTTACACGTCACCTAGCCGAGAGACAGGCTAAATGGCTGGTGAGTGTTCAATCTGCCACATAGAAACGTTCTCAGACAGGAATAAAGTATAAAGTCTTTTATACAAGAAAGATATACTAAAGCAACAGCCAGCAGAATTACAGGCAGCATCAAGATTGTAAGTGGGTCATGTTTCAGAAGTTCATTTGTCTATTGTTTAAAAAACTGAATACACAGAAATAAGGTTTCTAATAGTGGTTACATTCCAAGGCTGTTCACAGAAGCCTATTTATTTAGCAGGGTATAAAGCTCAATGATAGAAATCATGCCATGGCCAGTCTGGGAATAGGATTGTGTAGGGGAGGGAAAACGTATCTTTCCTGGTACAGAGAGAATCTGATACATAGTGTACTATGTATCTGTTGCTGTGTAACAAATGACCCTCAAAACTTACCATGGGAAAGCAATGAACAGCTACCTCCTCGCAGTCTCTGTGGGTCAACTGAGTTAACACAGCTGAGTTCTGGCTCAGAATCCCTCCTGGGGGTATAGTGAACATCCTCCAAGCAACAGTCATCCAAAGGCTTAGCAGGAGTAGGAGGACTGGCCCCCAGCATAATTCACTCACGGACGCTGGCAGAAGGCCGGAGTCGCTTGTCACACTGGCCTTTTCATGGGACTGCTTGAGTTCATCAACCACCTGGGAGCTGGCTACCCTCCAGCACAAGTGACCTGCAAGGAAGAACACAGGCAGTGGAAATGCCTCTTCTCTCACAGTCAGCTCTTCCACATTCTCCTGATCACAGGGTGGATACTACTCGTTAGGCCTGGGCAACTGCATAGATGAGTGATAAAGCTCCCACCCTGGATGGACAGAATGCCTGGATAAATCCTAAAACCAGCACTCCAAGTTTTTGCTGTCCTCTCACCACTCTCTCCAGGTACCTAGTGAAACATAACAAGAAAAGCAATAGGGGAAGCGGAGTGCCAGCCCTCCCCAACAAAGCTTGCTGTAAGTACCCAAAACAACCCATGTATTTGCCTCAAGTTTTCTTCAACTGTCTACTCCAATTCCCTAGCAATGAGATCTTATCAGAAGGAACATTTGTGTATTTATCCACTGGCATCTCTCAGCAGTATAATTCCAAGCAATTTGACAAAATGTAATTTTTAAAAATCTTACTCTTAAGCCAAATAGATGAGAACATTTGGGGTTAGGAAAGCAACCCATAGTAACCTCTCTCCTTTCAGCTGACTATAGCCCTGTGACCCAGTTACTGCATATTCTGAGCAACAGTTTTCTGCTTCCTGGTCTCAGAGCCATGTAGCCTCTAGCCCAAACTTCCTAATTAGACTCCCAGTGCTGCAGTAATAAAACTGGCAAACAGGAGCTTCCCTGGAGCACAAAAGCAGGGGTTGCTCTTGTACTTGGAACATGCAAAGTTCCAAAACCTCACCAGAATCTTCAGAAGATGACTGGGCTCTTAAGACTTTTTCTCATCATTTTTGTAACCTGAAGTCTGGTAATACACAGAGACCATGACAAAAAGATTATATGCATTATTTAGCATTGGATGTATATGAGCTTTGCTACAATTCAAAATTCACATCTAAATCAAACCTGGAGCCTTGATCCACCAGTTTGCTGCAGAGTGCAAGTGCGATCACACCGGACAAGTTTAGGGTTTATTAAGCAGTCTGTATTAACCAATCTTGGTGATAACAGGCCCACTAGAAGTAGCAAATAGGGCCCAGCGCAATAACATAGCAGCTAACATACTCACCTTAAATGTGCCAGGATCCCATATGGGCGCCAGTTCTAATCTCAGCAATCGTGGCGGCTCCACTTCCCATCCAGCTCCTTGCTTGTGGCCTGGGAAAGCAGTCAAGGATGGCCCAAAGCCTTGGAACCTGCACCATTGTGGGAGACCAGGAAGAGCTCCTGGCTCTGGATTGGCTCAATTCCAGCTGTTGCGGCCACTTGGGGAATGAACCATCAGACAGAAGATCTTCCTCTCTGTCTCTCCTCCTCTCTGTATATTTGACTTTCCAATAAAAATAAATACTTAAAAAATAAAAAGAAATTTGCTAATCACAAGTCCATATAGCAATCCAGTCAATCAAAACCCCAACACGAACAATGGTCATTACCATTGAAGTCCATTACAACTGAAGTCCATTCGTTAAACTAAAGTCCTATGTCCCAGCTTCCCGAAAAATATAAGTTATCCTAAGAGACATACAGTGAATAACCTAACACACTTACAAAGCTGCAAACATTCACCTTTCCCTGGATTCTCTGGCCAAATTCCACTACCACTAGGCCTTATCTCTTGATAGTACACAAATTAGAAATACAAAACATATTAGCATTAATATCTTCACTGTCCCACCCAAGCAGTGAAGACAGCACGAGGAATATAGACACACAGGGCCGTGCTCAGTGGCTACCTGTCCTCAGAGTCTGTCTGTGGGAAGCCAGGGAGCAAGCAGGAGCTGGAGAGGCCAAGAGTAGGAGTGCCAGAGTGCTGGAAGCCTGAGACTAGGACAGGGAGCCCTTCCCAATCAGGCGCCTTTATGGAAGCTTGCAAGGGAGTCTCAGATTTCAGGCAATGATAGGTGACTGTCACAGGTGGGCAGGAGGGTGGTGGTGGAGGAGCAGAGTGGCTTGCAAGTTCCTGAACTAGCTGCCTACCTCACAACAAGTTCCCCTGATAATGTCACTTTCACTCCCGACTCAACACCATTTGAGACCATGACGAAAGCTGAGGAACTTAGCCCAGAAAATACACACACTCACAAATGTCTGCACGGAGTTTTAAGGACTCGTGAACCCAGGAGATCTGGAATAAGACTTTGTATGGTTGACTTACTGCCATTCCATTCTGCCATTAGAGTTTATACTTAGGGGCCCAGCATGGTAGTACAGGGTCCCATGTGGGCGTTGTTCATACTGTGGCTGCAGCACCTTTTACCCAGATCCCTGTGAGCCTGGGAAAGAATGTTCCTAGTCCTAGGGCCCCTGCATCCATATGGAGCATCCAGTATGGAGCTCCAGGCTCCTGGCCTCACCCCTACTCCCTTGGGGCCATTTGAGAAGTGAAATAATTAACAGATCTTTCCCTCCGCAGTTTTGCCTTTCAGATAAATAAAACTCCAGATTTAAAATCAGAAAACTACTATTTATGACTCAATTCTGTCCAATGATCTTTGGGGTTTGCTTTTTGTTTTGTTAGAGCCAAAGGCCAAAGAGATACATGTCTAGCAGACTTCCTGCGCTCAAGGTTAGTCCATACTGTGAATACCTGAGAAGCAAAAGCAACTTGGCAGAGCACAAGAGGACAACACGTACTCGCAAAAGAACAGCGAACATAGCGCAGGACACAGCCCATGACAACAGCCTCACTCTCCAGTGGACCTGACTCTGTACTTTTAAGACTCTCTTGTAATTGTTTTTAATTTTTATCATGGACAGGGAATATTAGTACATATATATGAGACAAGTGTGATCATTCATGTAAAAAAATATAAAGATAAAATCAGGCTTATGGGCAAGATCATCTCCTCAAATATTTATCATTTCTGTGTTTTTGTATCCCACGCCAACTTGCCAGAAACGCAGCAACGGGACGAGGAAGGAGAAAGTCGCTTGGCTTTCCAAACTGGGCAGGAAAGCACTATCTGTTTTCTCAGAACCGAGACCGCGATTCCTCAGACCCACCTTCCCTGGAAGGGACTCGGGGCGGACACGCCCAGCCCCGGGCGGGACTGCAGCCCTGAGCCGGCCAAGCGCAGTTCTTACGGGACGAGGTGGGAGCGCCCTGGGAGCCCCGCGCTTCGCCTGTAGGCGCCCTCGGGCAGAGCAGGCGAGCAGCGCCCCCGGCCGCCCCCGCGCCCGCCCGCCCCCGGCCCCCCGCGCCCGCCCCCGGCCCCGCGCCGCCCCCGACCCCACGCCGCCCCGCGCGCGCCCCGGCCCCGCGCCCGCCCCCGGCCCCCGCGCCCGCCCCCGACCCCACGCCGCCCCGCGCCGCCTCCGACCCCACGCGCCCGCCCCCGCCCCCGCCGCCCCGCGCGCGCCCCCGGCCCCGCGCCCGCCCCCGGCCCCCGACCCCGCGGCGCCCCCGCCCCGCGCCGCCCCGCGCGCGCCCCGCCGCGCGCCGCCCGCGCGCGCCCCCGACCCCGCGCCGTCCCCGGCCCCGCGCCCGCCCCTGCCCTGCGCGCCGGGCCTGCGTGTCCTCGCGCCGACCCCTCCCTCGCGCGCTTCGCCCGGCGCACGCGCGGGGCGGAGAGAGAGGCGGCGGCCGCGGGCGCCCGGCCCCGAACCTGTCAGACCCGGGGAGCCGGCCTGGAGCGGCGGGCGCGAGCGCGGCCTCGCTCCCCTCGCGGCCCCGGGCGCAGCGGCGCGGACCGGGCCCCCCCAGCCGAGCCTGCGGGGGGCGGGAGATGAGCGGCGGCCCCGCGGCAGCGCCCCAGGTAGACGCGCCGCCCCCTCGCGGAGCCCGGCGGCGCCTGCGGGTCGGCCCAGCGCCCCCGCCGACCGCCGCTTCGGAACTTGTGGGCAGCGGCGTCGGGGCGCCTTTCATGCGTAACGTGTTTTCGTTTTCCGCAGGATGGGGAGGGACGCGCGGCACCGGCCCCGGCGACCGGCGCTCGGGTGAAGTAGGGGCCGCCGGCCGGCCGCCTGCACCGAGCGAGCCGTTCCGCGCCGCGGCCGCTCAGCCTCGGCCATGGCCGGCTCGGGCGCGTGGCAGCGCCTCAAATCCCTGCTGAGGAAGGATGACGCGCCGCTGTTTTTAAATGACACCAGCGCCTTTGACTTCTCGGAGGAGGTGGCGGACGACGGGCTGGCTCGGTTTAACAAACTTCGCGTGGTGGTAGCCGACGACGATCCCGGGACCCCGGAAAGGCCTGTTAACGGGGCGCAGCCGGCCCTCCAGGTCGACGACGATTCCTTATTGGACCAGGACTTAGCTCTGAGCAACAGTCAGCTGAGCTTGAAGGTGGACCCCTGTGACAACTGCAGCAAGCAGAGAGAGTTCCTGAGGCAGAGAAAGGTGAAAACCAGGTTGACCATTGCTGCCGTTCTGTACTTGCTTTTCATGATTGGAGAACTTGTAGGTGAGTTGTGTGGCCAACTCACTGTGCCGTTTGCCCTGCCCTGCAGAGTCTTTGTCAAGCTGTAGTTACACACCTGGGGTTGAGGTGGAAGCTTTCCTGTAGGAAAGTTGGCTGTTTATCGAGATGCTGATCCCGGGATGTGACAAGGCCACGGGATTCCAAAGTGCAGCTCAGTCTAAGCACAACATAAAACTTCCCGGGATTCCTTTGGCTCTGGCTCCTAGTTTTTCCAACACTGTGGCGTTTACTGTCAAGGAGGTGATCTGTGTTGTGTGCCATGCTATATTTTCCTGTTTTTAAGATATTCTGATAAGACATCAGATTGTTTTTTGCAGCACTTAAAATAATAGTTTTTAAGATGTATTGTTTTTATTGGAAAAGCAGATTGACAGAGAGACAGATCTTCTGTCTGATGGTCACTCCCCAAATGGTGACATTGGCAGAGCTGAGCTGATTCAAAGCCAGCAGCTTCTTCGGGTCTCTCACATGGGTGCAGGGTCCCAAGGCATTGGGTCATCATGGGCCTTTCCCAGGCCATTAGCAGGCAGCTGGATGGGATGTGGAATAGCCAGTACATGAACCGGCATCCATATGGGATCCTGGCGCGTGCAGGCCATGGATTAGCCAGTTGAGCTGCCTCGCTGGCCTCCTGTATGGTTCTAACAGCACAGGATCATAAAGCATGGAGGTGGCTGGCTGAACAGACCGATCCCCTACATTTTCACCCACAGGGATTTTGACAGCCCAGGGAGGTTGAATGCCACTTAGGTGGTTGCAGGAGCCACATTACAGTCCCAGTCTCCTGGGCTCCTTTTAAACCCACATGTGACTTAAATGGCCTCTTACAGCATTCCCTCTTGTGGTTATAGTCAGGAGATTCATTAATGCTTAAAACATGAGAAGGTTTGTGGTTTTTTTTTTTTTAAAATAATAAAATCTGATATGAGCCAAAGGGCTCCCCTGGAATTTTTATGAATTTTATGAATTTTGATTTTTTAAAATTATTGCAAATAACCACATTCTCACTTTAAGCTGCATTCTTCATTTAGAGGTTATTTTCACAGTCATGTTAGTGCTGCCATCCCCCAGAATCTGAGAGAGGTGTTCCAGGACTGTTGCAGACAGCAAAATCTAAAATCCCTTACGTAAAATGATGTAGATATTTCCATATTCTCTAGGCACATCCTCCCATAGCCTCTGGATTAGTTAGAATATCTGACACCATGTACATGCTGCGCAAATAGTTGTTATTTTGTTAGAGAATAATGACGAGGGGAAGTACATGTTCAGCACAGACGGAGACTGTTTTCTGAACATTTTCAGTCTGCAGTTGACTTGGTGGAGGCAGAGCTCCTGGACTGAGTGGACTTCTCTTGGTGACACCGGGAGGTCAGCGTCCCATGTTGTCTCCTGGTGAGCCGCGATGAGAAGTTAATATGCTTCTACTACTTCGTTTCAGACCACTCCTCCCCAGCACTTACTCCACTCGGCTGTACTGAGCTCTCACTTCCCACAAAGCACAGAGCTGTTTCCTGCCCTCAAGGCTGTCACGCTGACTGGTCCCTCTTTTTTTTTTTAAGATTTATTTATTTTTATTTCAAAATCAGATATACAGAGAGGAAGATCTTCTATCCATTGATTCACTCCCCAAATGGCCGCAATGGCCGGCGCTGTACCAATCCAAAATTAGGAGCCAGGAACTTCTTCCAGGTCTCCCACGAGGATGCAGGGTCCCAAGGCTTTGGGCCGTCCTTGACTGCTTTCCCAGGCCACAAGCAGGGAGCTGGATGGGAAGTGGAGCTGCTGGGATTAGAACTGGCGCCCATATGGGATCCTGGCACGTTCAAGGTGAGGACTTAAGCTGCTAGGCCACCAAGCCGAGCCCCCTCTCTTTCTTTTTTTTTTTTTTGAAGATTTATTTTATTTTTAAAGATTTATTTATTTTTATTGGAAAGGCAGATATACAGAGAGAAGGAGAGACAGAAAGATCTTCCATCCACTGGTTCTCTCACCAAGTGGCTACAGTGGCCAGAGCTGAGCCAATCTGAAGCTAGGAGCCAGATGCTTCTTCCAGGTTTCCCTGCTTGAGTGCAGGGTCCCAAGGATTTGGGTCATCCTCTACTGCTTTCCCAGGGAACCAGCAGGGAGCTGGGAGGAAAGTGGAGCAGCCAGGATACAAACCACTGACCATATGGGATCCCAGCACATACAAGGTGAGGATTTAGCTACTAGGCTATCGTGCTGGGCCCAGACTGTTCTCAATTACCCTCTTGAAAGTGGCTTTCAAACTTTTTTTTTCTATCTTTCTGTAACAAAAACATTTAATATGGTCTATTTAAGCATGCATGCCTACATAGTTAAGTAGGGACAAATACATGGGCTCAAATACATATACCTGAAGCAAGGTTTATTTTCTGTGAAGTATTCTGATATTTTTTTCAGTGTGTCCCAGCCCTCTGAAGTGATCTGCAGTTTGAAAAACACCACAGAGACTGGCTTTTCTTAAAATTTCTCTAGGCTAGTTTCTTGTCATTCATGTCTGATCTCAAAAGACACGTCTGAGAGATCTTTTTGAAGTTAGTCTCTTTTTCTCCAACTTTCAAAACTTCAGCATCTAATTATCTTATTAATTTACTTGTTAAATATCTTTCTTCCACTGAAATACAGACTGAACGCCCAGCACCTAGAACAGTGGCCCGAAGCAGTCAGTACATTTTTGTTGACTTAATCAATGTTTATTCTATTAGAGAATTAAAAAATGCTTAAACTATAAAGAAACTAAAAAAAAAAGAGAGAGAGAGAGAAGATGTGCCAAGATGAGGCACAGTCTCACCCAACTGATAATTCAGTATCTTCCGAAATTGACATAATTAGAATGTTGACTCATTCAAACTTAGTGATTTTATGTTCATATTTAATATGCAAAGTTAATGTAACAATCAGAATGTTCCCCCTTAAAATTAACTTCAAATTTGTTCACTCTAGGAATCATTAAGATGTAAATATCTTAACTTGCTAGTTCTGAAAGCTCATAATTGGCAAACATTTTGTGAAAGCCACAATAAGTATGTCTTTTCAGATACTGTATTTTCAAACATGAAAAAATTGATTACAGAATGCAGATGAGAGGACCTGAGAAAGGTATTCACAATATTATTCAGAATATCATAAAGAATTAAATTGCATATAAAAGAATATTAACAAGTATTCATAAAGCACCTTAGGTAGGAAGTATAGACTGATAAAAATAAAGACCTGAAAGAAGAGGCTTGGGTTTGAACGCTGGGTTTGCCACTCACTCGCTCTGAGACCTTGAGCAAGGTCCATTCTTCTTTCTGTTCAGCAGATATTTTTATGAGTGCTTCCTGTACACCAGGCCCTTTATTACCAGTTCTGAAAATGTAATGGAGAAAAAGAACTATCATGATCTGTACTGTCTAAAATATTCAAGTCAAATAGAGGAGACAGACCTTAACAAATAAGCACGTGAATAAATTTAAAATTCAGATTCTCTTAAAGTGCCATTAAGAAAAAGAAGATAAATTATGAGACATAGTAGCTTCTGGGGTAATTTATGCAGAGCCAGGTCCATTTAAATCGAAAAATAATAGTAAGGAGTTATTCAAGCAAAGAAAATAAAGGAGGGGTTTTCCAAGCAAAAAGAACAGAACGTACAAAGATTGTAGATCCTCACTTCTTTAAAATGATTTTAAAAAGCATTCAGTGTGGCTGGAATGCAGTAAGTAGGAGGAAAAGGGGCTGGAGGACCAAACCAAGCAGGTCCTAATAGGCCATGTTAAAAAGCGGTAATGTTTTAGCCAAATACAATGTGAAGCCAATAAAAGTTTTATTTATTTTCATTTTCATTTGAAAGGCAGAGAGGAAGATAGAGATCCCTGTCTGCTGTTTTATTCCCCACATTGTTGCAATAGCCAGGCTGGGCCAGACCTAAACCAGCAGCCAAAGGAAACTGTCCAGGTCCCTCATGTGGATCTGACTGAAGCACAAGAGCTTTCATCTGTTGTCTCCCACGGAGCACATTAGCAGGAAGTTGGATCCAAAGGGGAGTGGCCAGTCTTGAACCAGGCACTCCAGTATCATCCCTGCACAAAACACTTGTCTCCAGGGAAGGATTTTAAACAGGCATGTGACTTGGTGGTATTTACCTCTTTAAAATTAATTGGAAAATGGATGGGAAGGTGTAAGAATGGGCCCAAGATTTATTTATTTGAAAAACTTACCACAAGGAGGAAGAGATCTGTTACAGAGATGGGGAATATGTATAGGAAGAATAAAAATGTCATAAAGCTGTCTTTTCGTAGCATGATTCAGCCTTTTTTTCTTGAATAGAAGCTACATTTATAAACCAGAATGCTTAAAAGTTTTGGTCCATGTTCTGTTTTTTGGTCCATGTTCTCATTGCTTCTATGAAGGAGTGATGTCACTGACATGTGACACCTTATAAAATTTAAGGTGATTAACATTGGGTTAATTCAGTTCCTGAGTTTCACTCATGTTTCATATGTTCAGATCACAGGTGACTAGTGTCTACTCTGTTAGACAGCAGGTAGCTAGATCATTTCAGAAAATTCTATTGGGTAGTGGTATTTTAAGATATTGTCCTCATTTAATGGGTGAATAAGCCAAAGTTCAGAGAGGTAAGTAGCCTGCTCAGAATTCCAAAGCTCTCCATCGTTAACCACTGACCTGCATTTTTCATGGATGTGCTCCAGTTTTTTCAATGTGAGGAAATGTTATTTGTATAAAGCATGCTGGAATAATTGGATTTAACTGTAAGATCGTAAGTCCCAGGTTTTTACAGCTGTAGGCTCTTCATAGCCAGAGGTAGGAGGACCCACAGCTCAGCACACTTTTGTGATCATAGAGCTCTGTCATATGCAGCCATCACTCTTGAAGTGTGGTTCCAAGACCGGAAGTACCAACAAAACCAGGGAACACGTGAGGAATGTAGATTCTCAGGTTCCATCCCAGACCTACCAAATCAGAAACTTCGGAGAGTGGGCTCAAGCAGCATGTAACCTAACAGAGTAATATTTACCAGTAAAACTGGTTGTCCATAATGGATCAATAAATACACATATAAAATGTATTTGTGTGTGTTTCTAAAAACACAATACTTGGAAATTCAATGCCAAAACCCATTCTGTCCTAAGTTATCACTGTATGTCTTTGTATTTGGAGGCGTCATTATCCATACCCAGTAAATCAGTTTTTATCTTTTGGGTCAAATAACACCTTGTTGGAGTTAATTGGTTTAATTTTATTTCTAAGCTTTCTTAATCAAGTGAATCCCCACCTTCTTAACAGCTTTGTTGTAATATCTAGATGAGTGTAAGTAGGCTAAGCAAAAGCCGCAGCATCTATCTATATGTTTGTCCCCATTTTAGTGACTCAACACTTTTATAAGGTCATTGATTCCTTGGAGAACCCATTAATAAAAATAGATTATTTTAATCAGAAAAATACGTAGTCACCCCTCCATATTCATAGATTCCACATCCATGAATTCAGGTAATAGTGGACTGAAAATATTCACAAGGAAAACTGCACCTGTGCTAAACATGTAGACTTTGTTTTTACCACTATATATATATATATATATATATATATATATATATATAGCATATGAGTTTACAGAGAATTTATACATTAGATCAGGTTTATTATAAATAATCTAGAGATATTTAAAGTATATGGGAGGACACATATAATGTTATAGCAAATAGTACCTCATTCTATGTAAGCAAATTGAGCATCTGCAGATTTTGTTGTCAAAGGGTACCTCCTGTTCCTACAAAGCAATCCCCTGTGAAATGTGAGGGATGATTGTGAATATACCTAACCTAATGTCAGAATACTTTTATTTAACCGTAGCAGGATGAAGAATGTTGGAAGTTCATGTTTTTTGTAGGATACAATGTATTTCTGGTGTGACTGATTATGTTTATTTCTTAATTAATTTCTTCCTTTTTCCCCCTGCTCTCACTCCAAGGTGGATACATTGCAAATAGCCTAGCAATCATGACAGATGCACTTCATATGCTAACTGACCTAAGTGCCATCATACTCACCCTGCTTGCTTTGTGGCTGTCTTCAAAATCACCAACCAAACGGTTCACCTTTGGATTTCATCGCTTAGGTAGGTGGTTAGAGTTTCTTTCAGTTTATGAAGTTTTATCATACAATCACACTGAACTATAATACTGATTAACTGAGATACTGTCAGTAAATATTGTTTGGACAAAGCAAATGAAAATGAAATTTATTCACTATCTACTAAGGTACATTCAGACCCGGCAACTGAAATAGTTTACATATATAAAATTATGTGGTTACTAATCTTTGTATATTGCTGCCTATGTCCTGAAGATGTCATCAGAAAGAACTTTACTTTCACTGTATTGAACCAAGAACAATCATGTGGTTTAACTCAATAAGTAGCATTCATTTCTGCCTTTAATATTTATTTATGTGGAAAGATGAGTACAGAGAGAATTGGGGAGACAGATATCTTCCATCTCCTGATTCACTCCCCAAATGGCCACAACAGCTCAGGCTGTACCAGGCTGAAGCCAGGATCCAGGATCTTCATCTGGGTCTCCCACATGGGTGGGAGAGGCCCACAGTCTTGGGCCATTTTCTGCTAATTTCCTGAGTGCATTAGCAGAGAGTGGGATTAGAAGTAGAGTAGCCAGGCCACAAGCCACACATATCAGATGCTGGCATCACAGGCAACAGTTTAACGCACTGGGCCACAACACCAGCCCCTAGGTTCTTTCTGCCCTTCACTTCAGGTGACTAAATCATAGATTTTAACCATTATTATTATGTATAGCAAACACTATATGATGGATCCCCATTGCACTCATTATATCAACATCCTTCTATGAATGTACACATATATTATTTGCTTATTTTGAACAGATATAACGCTTAATTAAAATCATACATTGTTGGGGCCAGCACAATGGCCCAGTAGGCTAATTCTCTTTCTGAAGTGTCAGCATCCATATTGGCACCAGTTTGTGTCCTATTTGCTGCACTTGCAATCCAGCCCTCTGTTTATGACCTGGGAAGGCAGCAGAAGAAGGCCCAAGTGCTTGGGCCCATGCTCCATGTTGGAGATCCGGAAGAAGCTTCTGGCTCCTAACCTCAGATTGGCTCAGCTCTGGCTGTTGTGGCCATTTGGGGAGTGAATCAGCAATGGAAGATTCTCTGTCTCTTCTTCTGTCTCTATAAAATCTGCCTTTCAAATAAAAATTCATAAGACTTTAAAAAGCATACATTGCTGCCTACACATCTGTTTATTATGTTCCTGTGTTTTTATTCACTTGTTTTGAAAATATGTATAAAATAATCACCTGAACATAGGAAGTGCCATATGATCAAATGTCACTTCTTTAGAATTTAAAGGCTGACATTTAGTAGAACCTGTCTCAAAGAACCAAAATTATATCTGATAATCTTATGTCAATAATGACTATTAACCAATAAATCAGTGAGTTCCTATTCTTTGTTACTTTTTAGCCTATGCTTACCTCAGCTTCCAGGTTTTCTTGGTAAGACACTAGGTCTAGTGTTAAACGTGACATTGTACGTGTGTGTTCCAAGTCCACCCAGGTCATCTGATAAGAGAGTTAACTGGCATCCCCTCCCCTCATCATTCTGAATTGCTATAAAAGAAAGGGAAAGCCCAGCACCATAGCCTAGTGGCTGAAGTCCTTGCCTTGCATGCCCAAGATCCCATATTTGCACTGGTTCATATCCGGCTGCTCCACTTCCCATCCATCTCCCTGCTGTGGCCTGGGAAAGCAGATGAGAGTGGCCCAAAGCCTTGGGACCCTGCATCCACGTGGGAAACGCGTAAGAAGCTCCTGGCTTCAGATTGGCTCAGCGTCTACTGTTACAGCTGCTTGAGGAATCAACCAGCAGACAAAATTTTTTGTCTCTGTCTCTCCTTCACTCTGTAAATCTGCCTTTCCAATACAAGTAAATAAATCTCTAAAATAAATAAATTAATAAAAAGAAAGTGAAAGCCATAAGTGGGGTTTTCCCATTGTTTGTCAAATTACTTTAAATGCATTTGCATGTATTCCTAAAGAAATTCCACTGCTCTCCAACATAATATATAGTCATTTGCTAACTAGTTGTTTTCAAGCTGTCAAACAGCTTAATAATACTTTAAAAAAAAAAAGATTATTTAAATTGGAAAGGTAGATATGCAGAGAGAAGGAGAGACAGAGGGGAAGATCTTCCATCTCCTGATTCACTTCCCGAGTGACCATATGGCCAGAGCTGAGCTGATCCAAAGCCAGGAATCTGGACTTCTGGGTCTCCCATGCAGGTTGCAGGGTCCCCAAGACTTTGGGCCATTCTTGACTGCTCTCCCAGGCCACAAGGAGGGAGCTGGATGGGAAGTGGGGCAGCCGGAACATGAACTGGCATACATTAAGGATCCTGGCACATTCAAGGTGAAAACTTTAGCTACTAGGCTACCACACCAGGCCCTAAAAATATTTTCAAATGTTACTTTTTGTGATTTAAATACCTACAGTTTAAGATTGAAAACCTAAAAATATCATATATTAAGTAATTTTTAACTTGTAACTCTACTTGAGGAGGAGCAGCATTTGAATACTATGGCTTTTAACCTCTTTCAGATTACAAACCCCTTGGAACTCTAATAAAAACAAACTCCTCTCCAGAAACGTGATAATGCAAAGGACTAGATATACAAGTGTAGTAAGCACCTATAAACATGCAAATCCTGTTGCCTGTCAAAGAAATACTCTGTTTCATACATGACATTTTGTTCCTTCATAAATAGTAAGCACTAAGTAAAGTTGAGGAAAAAATACAGAACTAATACTGTAGAAAGTCAAATCTGTCTCCCCTTAAGAATACTGAGTTCCAACGTGGTAGACAAGATATCAGCATTTGACTCCTGTCACTCTGATAATTCATAGAAGCACCAAAAAAAAAAAAAAAAAAAGATCCAGTTGAGTCGGTCATCAATAAACCAATTTCTACAAGTTGAAAAGTCGATAGGAATGGGTTGAATAAGTGAAGCTACAGCCTAAGGTATACTCTGAACCAGAAATTGAACCATCCTAGCAGATTTCCAAAGAAAATTCAGGGCTAGAGTTAAGTAGAAGTGAGTACTGGAACTAAAACAGGGTGAAATAGGATACTGACAATAGATGGTAAACTGTTTCCAGTGGCTCCCCGGGGCCCTGCCTCCCTGCCCTTGCTCATCTGACATCTCTTCTGGTTTATATACCTCCCCTCTCGCCTCCACCTCCACTCAAGCAGGCTGCATGTTCCCTAATAGAAAACATTAAATATTTCTTCTAGAAAGAAATTGAAGACAATGGGGAAAATTCTTGAGGAGGATTCAGACATGGCAGAGATACCAAAAGTCTGGAGAACAAAGCCATAAGCCAGAGCAGTTGGGATCCTTGAGTTCCACCAAGTGCCATGACTGCATGAGTGGCATCTTGGGGAGAGATGTTTATATTGGCTATATTTTAATAGGATATCCCTTGTTATATCTAATTCCAAAAGTTGGGGATTCAGGTCCCGAAGACCATTGCAGCAGAAATCTCTTTCATAAATCTAGGGTTTGTTATTGTTGTTGAATTTTTATTTTGTTTTGATAGCATGGGGATGGGAAGTGGACAGGAGTTGAAAATTTTTTGTAAATATTTAAAATAAATGTTGCAAAATGCAAAATCTATTCTTGTAAGAAAAATGTATTTTATTTATTTGAAAGACCATTAGATAAAGAGGGCTAACCTTCCATCCATTGGTTCATTCCTCAATTCCACAAGGGTTGGAATTGGGACAGGCCAAAGCCAGAGCCAAGAGCTTCATCTAGGTCTCCCACACGGGTTGCAAGGGACCAGGGACTTGGACCATCTTTAGCTGCTTTCCCAAGCACAACAGCAGGGAGCTGATCAGAATTGGAGAAGCCCTGGGTCAGAGTGGGGGGTTCAAACTGACATCCATGTGGGATGTCAGGGTCACAGGTGGTAACTTAACCCAGTAGGCCACAGTACTGCCTTCAAAAACACGTTTTAAAAGAGGTTTTCCCAGAGAAATTTTGCTTTATTCATTTATTTATCTGTGGACTATTGATTTTAGACATTTAACTGGTATTTTAAAAGTTCTGTTGCGAGGTAAATAAAAGAGAAGTAGTTAAGAGTACAGACCTAAAACCCAAACTTGATTTCAGTTCTGGCTCCTCACTTCCCAACACTGTGATCTTGGGCAAGTTGCATAATACCTTTGTGCGTCAGTTTCTTCTTTGTAAAACAATATGAACAACAATCGCTACCTCATAGAATTAAGAAGAATATTAAATGACGTTGTGTTTGTAAAGCGCTCAGAACAGTGCCTAACACTTCAAATGCAGTCCTCATCTATTCTTCACATTACCAACTTCATTTTTCTTTAGAAAAGAATCTAAAAAAAAAAAAATTCAAGGTGTACCTGTGACTTTTATTTATATACATAGAAATGCTACCATATACTCTGTGGACTGTCCGATCTTCAGAACTTCTGTTATATTTTATAATAATATGGTAACAAGTCATAATCACTGCTTTAAGGTGCTATAAATAAAAAGTTTATATTCTTCCTTTCAGAGAACAGAAATGCTGTGAATACAGGGGAAGAAAGGAGGGGAATCTCATCGCCCTCTGTATCTACATTTTGTTTTGTTTTTGTAATACACCACAATTTTTATTGCAGTGTGGCCATTTTTGTGAGGGTGGGGGGAGTTTGTCACAAAACAATGTTCCATTTCAGGCTCTTTTATACAGAAATTGCTGTCATGACCAATATTCAGAATATCTTCAGTTTTGCAAGACTCAATGGTAAACATAAAACTCATACACTTATTCAGTAGTATACACTCAATGGAAAACAAAAAGGCATTAATAATAACTATTTCTTTTAAAAAGGTATACAGGTAACAGGAATGAACACTGAGGTACTCGGATAAATTGGTAACACAATTAATGGAACTTAGTTGGCATTCCTTTTGAAGGGGATTCAACTCATTACAAAAAAACTGCTTTTAATGTATAGTGTTGTATCTGTGCTGCCATGTTACACAGAGAGGCCGGCCAGTGCAGG